GTTCTCTTTTTGCCCCCACCCCCCCTGCTCCCAGGGTTTATTTTAACTTCCTCCCAAAAATCCTCACTCCAGTAGTTTTAGGCATTGGGGCAGAATTGGGACCAACCCCTTTATACCTTCCAGGTATATTTTATCAGTACCTCCTTTCCTCCGCTCCAATAGTACATGTTCAAACTTGCGGCGTTCCCAGTATTTAGCCATTTACGGGTCAATGTGCCAAAAAGACTGATAAATGCCAATTTCGACGGGGAAAACACACAGCCCAAAAATTTTTTTATTTTTCTGTCCCTGCAGGATACTCGTGAGCATTAAAACACGGGTAATTTGTTCAACACCATGTGAAAATTCCCAGAGCAAACGAGACGCCGGGGATTTTTTAAAAAGTAAGATTATTGGGAAAAAATCAATAAATTTTCTTACCTGCACCTGAATGGATGGAATGTTGCTTTTCACTGTCATGGAACTGTATGTCCATTCACCTAGAAAGAAGATACTAACTGAATAAAGGTAAATATATTTTTTGGATCCTAAATTTTCCCCTGGGAAATTGAAAAAAAGTATTGTTTAGGAGGAAGAAGGGAAGAGAAAGGCCTTTGTTAAATCATCAGATGTCATCAGGATCCCCATTTTTGTCAGGTCAAAACAACAACTAAAACCCCCATCCGGGATGTCAAGGAAAAGCAGCCTGTGATACATTTATACATACTGTGTCAAAAAAAAGCACTTTCAATTTTGTGTAAAACTTATATAAAACACATTGAACATGACATAAACCACACAAAATCAATTATAGATACCTGTTCATAACAGGTGTTAAAGAATCTCTTCACTTTAAACTCAGGACAATCCAAGACACAGACAGACACTTTTATTTCTGTTGGAGATCGGGTTCCTTCCCGGGGTTTGCCCCATAATCCCACTGCATAAATATATTATCTATTTTTAAACCCCTTTTGGGGGTGCCGGGCCCTTCTCAGAGATTTGTTCCGGGGGTCGCCAAAATTAAAAAAAAAAAAATTTTTTTCTTATGAAAAGAAAGAACTTTTCCCATCATAAGCACCGAAAGTATAAAATTTTGGCCCCCTGCTCCCTCATTTACATAAATGATCTTCCAAACATATCCCAAACCCCCTAAAAAACCCATTCCTTTGCGACCAACTTATGTCATCTCCCACCCTAATCTTGCCACCCCAACACCATTTTTAACGGGACTGCTCAAAATATCGACTTGGATGACAGCCAAAAACTTACATTTAAACACGGGAAAACCAACTACATATGTTTGGAGCAAGCAGGTGTTGCGCAACTTAACTTTAAAGATCGAAACACTCAAATTTTGCCAGCTAATGGGGGAAAATTCCTTGGCCTTACCTCAAAATAAACCCAAATTTCAGCAAACCCCTACTAACACAAAACAAAAAAAAATACCAAAACAGGGGATCCCTCCAAATACATCTACGACCGCAAACTCCCTTCCACACTATACCATTTTACTTTTTATCCATCCTCACCTTGCTATCGTGCTTGGGGTTCAACGCACAACACACCTTAAGCCAATAATAACCCAACAAAAGGCAGTAAGGGAAAATCACAAATCCCACCCTGGCAACACACCCCCCCCCCTTCATTGATCTAAACTTTCTCCCTGTTCAGTACATCCACCTACTACTGTCAATCTATATCTACTTGGGCCTTTTAAAACCAATTTAAAAATTTATAAAAAAGCTTTTTTTAGTTTGACAGGAAAACCCCAGGGATAACACCAGACACAAACATCTCTATGACATTCCAGTGTTCGACTAAACCTAACAAAAAAAAACAAGTATTCAAAGGACCAAAAAAGGAAACCCACCTGAAAACTCTAGAACGCAGAACACCATCACTTTCAAAAATACAGTTTGAAAACATCTTATCTCCCGATTTCCCCCGACAACTAACTACGAAACCAGGGGGGGGTTCACAATTTACACTCACTCACCCACTGACTATAAACCCAGAAATACTAATCTTAATCTTAAAATAAGAAATCCAAATTCTAAGTTTGCCTATGATACTCCAATATAGCACCCTTTTTTGGCCAAAACAAAAGCATTCACAATGCTAAACTCACAAATTATGATTAGTCACTTAGCCTTTAAAACCATAAACTGTAAGGCCCCCTCTGTAATTTTGTATTTTAAAACATGTAAACCACACAATACCCAAAAAACCGTAAACCCCCCATTGTAACCCTTATGAGAATAAAACTTTAATTTAATTGAATTTCCTATCCAATAAGGTGGTCAAAATTTGCAATTTTGCCCAATTTCACAAAATTTTAAAAAGCCAATTTCCGAAAGGGTCCAGAATAAACAAGAAAAAACATTTCCCGGGACAAAAAAACAAGTTCTCTGTTTTTTAGCACTCCCCAGGCCCCCCTTTTTTTTTCTTTTGGGTTCCACTTTGAATTTTTATTTTTACAAAAAAAAAAGATTTACTGTTATCAGACAAATGCATTAGTGTAGAAATGGAAAATAAAACACGTACTTGTGAAAGAATATTGGGAACTCACCCTTATTGTATTGGACACTTTGGGATATTTGTTTACTTTTTTAACTTTGGTAAAAACGAAGTTTTGCACTTTGGCTCAATTTCAAGGGGACTTTTTATTGTAAAAAACCCGCAAAAACATCTCAAATTTTTGTAATATGTCTTCCTTTTATAAAATGGACCAGGGAAAAAAAATAAAAAAAAAACAAAAATAATACGAAAAAACAGTGCAAAGTGGCTGTTTTAATCCAAAAAACACTGTCAAATTTTTTTTTTTTTATTTCGCACTGTTTGCTGCAGGGTTTTTTTTTTTACTGTGCACACGACCACACAGACGCATTCTTTCATAATAACCTACCAATTTCCCTCACTAATTTAGGGCGCTAGAATTTTGGGGCGAAAACCATAGTACGGCCGAAACCCCCAAAAGGGTTAAATGAAAAAGGGATTTTGGAGATTGCCAAGTTTCTCTCCCACCTAGAAATTTAACTTGGGTCCTTTCTGTTATGGCTAAACCCAAAGGGACTCAATTTCAAAAAAATAAGTGGAAAAAAATGTTGAACAAAAATTTTAATACTGAAGAATTTTATTATTAGTGCTTTGTGGTGCTGAGGGGTACGTTTCATGCAGCTTCCCCACGAGAGTCCCGATCGCTCTCCAACCAGGTGAAATATTCACACTTTCTTTACATCTCTGCCCCCCGTTTTAAACCGCAATAAAAGTCCTGGGGAAATGTGACTTTTTAAATGCCAAGTCGGGCTGAAAAAGTCGTCGTAAGCTTCTCTCTTTTATGTGCGGGTTGTGTATAGGTACCTGGGTGTTCGCTAACTGTTGGGGGTCACATCCTAGAAGAGAACATTCATGGACCCCAATGGAAGACAGTCTCTGATGACGTACAGACTTTATCGGGTTATATTATCTTACCCCGGGTGGCTAATCCGTCAAGTCAAAAACAAAAATTTTATTTTCTGACCTAATCTTATACTCGTGGAAGAAGTGCTAAACCTGAGGGGGGGTCATCCAACATTTGGGAAACAGCAGGCAATCAGGTTTGAGCCAAGAAAAGGGAGGCCATGTATCAGTACTTGGATCAAGAGCCCTTCACTTGCATAAAGGCAGTTACCTGGAGGGGGTAACTATAGTTAAGAAATCCAGTATAGTGTCAGAGTAATTACTGGCCACAACTATGATAAAACACTAGCCACAGGATCCTAATTATCAGATTGAAACAAGCATGATAAACCCGTATGGGTCACACCGCACGGCAAGAGGATCTTAAGGTAGTAATATTTAAAACTTATTGAGCAGTTATAATGGTGCTAGGTTAAGTCATCATAAAATGTCAGCTGTTGGTAATAGTAGTTAATATTGTGCCTCAGTAGTTGTGAAGGTAAGTAACTTATATCAGAGTTAACAGTTGTGTAGACGAGAGTGTAAATTATAATATAGAGTGAGGGCAGCGTCAGCCATGGGGTTCAACACTGCCCCTCACACACTTATCCTGGGCTGACCCACCACACTAAGCTACTAATCCAGTGTTTAACCTTGTCTATGTGATGGTGGCAGCACACACACCATGTGCTATCTCCCTCATTTACCGCTAAACTCTTTGTTATTATCACATTGTTTGAGATAATTTGTGTGGGAGTCAGCGGGAGTGTGGAGCCTCCGCCACTATTACCATTATTTACTAGTGTTGTGGGTGTTGGTGTGGGTGTTAGAGCAGGTGTCAGCTGCTCCCAGGTGTACCTACCATCTTGGGATGCCATCATTGGGTACAGAGAGTGAGCTGTGTGGCATCAAATGAGGATAATAAGTGGTAGTGTCAGAGGCTGGCCTCACCACCACATCGATCAAACCAAACAATACAACTACCACTGCGCAGGCGCACGCATTTTTATCTCGCATCCCACCCACTACAACAACCTCTTATAAAACACCTACATCACCCACTCCACAACCTAAATCACCTATTATACATACCATTCTATACACGCTCACTTAACCTATCCAACAAAAAATTTACCGCTAATATAATTCAATATCATTAACATCAAAAATATCCTCCAATTAAGTAAGACAAAATAATGGAACACTGTCAAAATAGTACCATTGATCATACGAGATTTATTTGTAATATATAATAAAATGCAACAGCCACTCTTCTCTGTATTATTATATGTTCAACTAATAAATAAAGTTTATTAGTGTGTATATTATTGATTGGTTGTGAGTAATATAAATGTTGATCAAGTGAACAACTATCATTGTTTGTAAACAAAGTTGTCTCAGTGGCAGTTATATTAGTGAGCAGACAGCGTTGAGCAGGCAACGCTAAGCAGACAGCGCTGAGCAGGCAACGCTAAGCAGACAGCGCTGAGCAGGCAACGCTAAGCAGACAGCGTTGAGCAGGCAACGCTAAGCAGACAGCGCTGAGCAGGGCCAACGCTAAGGCAGAACAGCGTCTGAGCAGGCAACGCTAAGCAGACAGCGCTGAGCAGGCAACGCTAAGCAGACAGCGTTGAGCAGGCAACGCTAAGCAGACAGCGCTGAGCAGGCAACACTAAGCAGACAGCGCTGAGCAGGCAGTGTTAAGCAGACAGCGTTGAGCAGGCAACGTTAAGCACACAGCAGTGAGCAGGCAACGCTAAGCAGACAGTGCTGAGCAGGCAACGTTAAGCAGACAGCGCTGAGCAGGCAATGTTAAGCAGACAGCGCTGAGCAGGCAACGTTAAGCAGACAGTGTTGAGCAGGCAACGTTAAGCAGACAGCGTTGAGCAGGCAACGTTAAGCAGACAGTGTTGAGCAGGCAACGTTAAGCAGGCAGCGTTGAGCAGGCAACGTTAAGCAGGCAGCGTTGAGCAGGCAACGTTAAGCAGGCAGCATTGAGCAGGCAACGTTAAGCAGGAAGCGTTGAGCAGGCAACGTTGAGCAGGAAGCGTTGAACAGGCAGCGTTGAGCAGGCAATGTTGAGCAGGCAACGTTAAGCAGACAGCGTTGAGCAGGCAATGTTGAGCAGGCAACGTTAAGCAGGCAGTGTTGAGCAGGCAACGTTAAGCAGACAGCGTTGAGCAGGCAACGTTAAGCAGACAGCGTTGAGCAGGCAACGTTAAGCAGACAGCGTTGAGCAGGCATCGTTGAACAGGAAGCGTTGAGCAGGCAACGTTAAGCAGGAAGCGTTGAGCAGGCAACATTAAGCAGACAGCGTTGAGCAGGCAACGTTTAGCAGGAAGCATTGAACAGGCAGCGGTGAGCAGGCAACATTAAGCAGGAAGCATTGAGCAGGCAACGTTAAGCAGGAAGCGTTGAGCAGGCAACGTTAAGCAGGAAGCGTTGAGCAGGCAATGTTAAGCAGGCAACGTTAAGCAGGAAGCGTTGAGCAGGCAACATTAAGCAGGAAGCATTGAGCAGGCAACATTAAGCAGACAGTGTTGAGCAGGCAACGTTAAGCAGGCAACGTTAAGCAGGAAGCATTGAGCAGGCAGCGTTAAGCAGGCAGCATTGAGCAGACAATGTTGAGCAGGCAGTAACACCAGTGACAACACTGCTAGTGTGCTGCACCTCACAGACAACTTGCTGTGTTACTACAAGTGTTGTCAACTATATGAACCTACTTGCAACCATCACCACTGTGACCCTTGCCACCACTGTGATCACTCTGCCACCACTGTGACCACCCTGCCACCACTGTGATCACCCTGCCACCACTGTGACCACCCTGCCACCACTGCGACCACCCTGCCACCACTTGACCACCCTGTCACCACTGTGACACCCTACCACCACTGTGACCGCTCTGCCACCATCATGTCACCACTGTGACCACCCTACCACTACAGTAACCACACTCCAACAGCTCTCCTCAACCTTCCCTAGGACCTCCATGACCCTGCCGTCAAACAGAGGATACTGTTGTAATCTTAACTTTCTTTTGATTTGCTGAGTCACCTGTGACAAGGCTGCGATACATGTATTATACCATACTAGTCTTCTAGTGGTGTCAACGGCATCAACAGCATCTCAAGAAATTTTAAACGGCGTTATCCTTAAAAAATGTAAGAGACTTTAGAAGATTTAAAGTAGTTATGCAGTGAAACCTTGATTTAATGGATTAATAAGGTAAAGACTGTCCAGTAATTCTAGTTGTGCACTAAATCTGAATGATATTGCTTTTCTGGGCTGTATAGCCCTTGTGGCTTAGCGCTTCTTTTTGATTATAATAATAATTGCTTTTCTGTGATATTAATAATGATGGACAATTCTGCAACCAAAGGACTTTGTTCGGTGTATACAAATCAGTTGTTCCACCGGATTTTGTTCAATATTTCCAAAGTCCATTAAACTGATGGTTCACTATATAACACTACATATGCATTGTGTTTAAATTAAAATTAATTTTTAACTCTATCCACCATGCTAGTATGCAGGTGATGACTGTGTCCAACATGCTAGTATGCAGGTGATGACTATGTTCAACATGCTGGTATGCAGGTGATGACTGTGTCCAACATGCTAGTATGCAGGTGATGACTATGTCCAACATGCTAGTATGTAGGTGATGACTGTCCAACATGCTAGTATGTAGGTGATGACTATATCCAACATGCTAGTATGTAGGTGATGACTGTGTCCAGCATGCTAGTATGCAGGTGATGACTGTGTCCAACATGCTAGTATGCAGGTGATGACTATGTCCAACATGCTAGTATGCAGGTGATGACTGTCCAACATGCTAGTATGCAGGTGATGACTGTGTCCAACATGCTAGTATGCAGGTGATGACTGTGTCATCCATGCTAGTATGCAGGTGATGACTGTGTCCAACATGCTAGTATGCAGATGATGACTGTGTCCAACATGCTAGTATGCAGGTGATGACTGTGTCCAACATGCTAGTATGCAGGTGATGACTGTCGTCCATGCTAGTATGCAGGTGATGACTGTGCCTACCATGTTAGCATGCAGGTGATGACTGTGCCCACCATGCTAGTATGCAGGTGATGACTGTGTCCACCATGCTAGTATGCAGGTGATGACTGTGTCCAACATGCTAGTATGCAGATGATGACTGTGTCCAACATGCTAGTATGCAGGTGATGACTGTGTCCAACATGCTAGTATGCAGGTGATGACTGTCGTTCCATGCTAGTATCAGGTGATGACTGTGCCTACCATGTTAGCATGCAGGTGATGACTGCCCACCAATGCTAGTATTGCAGGTGATGACTATGTCCACCATGCAGTATGCTGGTGAGACTGTGTCCAACATTTTACATGTACAATTTTTAGTGCCTTACTAGTAAGTTTATTCAGGTATACACAAATACAGTTACATAGGTTATCATACATAGCAGCATATGTGTAGAGAACCTGGATAACCCAAAAAATCAGACAAGGTGACTTATTTCCATTGAGGTCCTTTACAAGACATCCCATGCCAATGTTTTTGACTCTCAACGTTTTGACTCTTATAACAACTTCCTCTTGCCTTTGAAGATAAATCTAAGACTAGGTGGACCACACAGTGCATCATAGGGATATGCTGTCTACCTAGCATAAGTTAACAATGACACCAGGAACTGTTGTTCCTCCACCAGGGTATGAAATTACCAGAAGATGCCTTATTCCAAATTCATTACTATTTCACGAATCTAACAGTGGAATTAGCCAGTAAGGACACATATAATTGAACCGTATGACTTAATTTCCATGTTTTGAAAGTATTAATCCATGAAAAATTGGTTAGTGTTGATAATTAAAAGTGAATATAGGAAGGAGTAAGGTGATGAGACAAAAAAATTAGGTGACGAAAGATTGGATATAGATTGCGGTGAGAGGAGGTGAATGTATTCAGATACATATTTAGGAGTGGATGTGTCAGCAGATGGGTGTATGAAAGATGAGGTGAATCATAGAATTGATAGAGGGAAAAAGGTGAGTGGTGCACTGAGGGGTCTGTGGAGACAAAAAACTTTGTCCATGGAAGCAAAGAGGGGAAGTGTGACAGTATAGTTTATAGCCAGTGGCTCTGATATGGGTGTGAAGCAACGGGGGTGGTGAATGTTACAACAAGGAGAAGGCTGGAGGCAGTGGGGATGTCGTGTCTGGAAGGCAATATGTGGTGTGAATATATGCAGAGAATTCGTAGTTTGAAATTAGGAGGAGGCGCGGATTACCAAGAGGGCTGAGGAGGGTTGTTGAGTGGTTCAGACATGTAGAGGGATGAACAAATGAATGACTTCAAGGTGTTATAATCTGTAGTGGAGGAAAGCAGGGTAGCATAGCCTAGGAAAGGTTGAAGGAGGGGAGTACAGGAGGTTTTGTGTCCAATAGGCTTTGACTCCAGCAAGCATGCATGAGTGTGTTAGATAGAGTGAATAGAGGCAAATGCTTTTTAGGACTCGATGTGCTGTTGGAATGTGAGCAAGGTAACATTTACGAAGGGAGTCAGGGAAATTGGCAGGCCGGATTTGAGTCCTGGAGATGGGAAGTACTGTACAGTGTCTGCACTTTGCCTCTGGCAAGACAGTGATGGAGTGAATGATGATGAAAGTTTTCTTTTTCGGGCCACCCTGCCTTGGTGAGAGAAGGCCAGTGTGTTAATAAAAGAAAAATATTTTGACATGATACATGTTTTACAAAGGAATATAATAGCTGGGTGTACATGCCAAAAGCACCTTTATATGCAGAGGATTTTGGGCAATCTTAAAACTAACTTAAGATTAATAAGGCAGTAACAGTACATATGTCATTAGATGAGTTACAATGAATACAAGAAAACTGAATATTCTATTAGGTCATGCTATATGGCTTTAATAAGTCTTGTGAATAACATTTGAGGTGAGCCAAGCAGTAAAAAAAAAATATATATAAAAAAAAAAATTTCTGCAAGTGTTTACCTAGAGCAGGGCTACTCAGTTGGCGGCCCGCAGACCAAATCTGGACCTTCTGAGTGTTCTAGTTGGACTGCGGGCTTCAGGAGAAAGCTTAGTTAAATAACAGCTGTTACCATGTTCAGGATCAGGTGGTACACAAGAGCGGGATTAATACATTATTCTATCTGAATGGAATGCATACACTGAATGGGCTGGGAATTCTGGTGACCCTGGTGCAACTTTGAATTTCATTTGAATTTGTGCAAGGTATAATTTCAGGTTTTCTCATTTTCTTGTTAGCAAGTTTGATTTTAATTCGCTGTGTCCACCTCTTTTATGAATAAGTACGTTGGTGGGGTATTTAGTATTGAATTGTGTTGTGATCAAATTCTTCACATCAATGTTTAATCAAATTGGTTAAAAAATTTCCTCATTCTGGTTGTTCCTAATTTATGTGGAGTGGATATAAAACATGTTTTATTTTAATAAATACAGATAAATTCCAGTACAGGTCAGCCATCACTAATCCAGCAATCAGTTATCCTGTTCCATCAGTAATCCGGCACTAATTTCAGCTAGCATAATTTCAGATTTCATCATTATACTGACTCAGAAATTGTGCAGATGGTTGTAAATCCACAGCAGCAAACCAGTGGAGGAGAAAGCAGTGATGAAAATGAGGAAGATGTAGCAGAAAGAGTCTCAGTTCATAGGTTAATTAAGTGTATTCTAACCTAGCCACTTTGTAGTCCGGCAAATTCACTAATCCAGCACTCTACAGGTCTCAATGATTCTGGATTAGTGATGGCTGACCTGTAGTAAATACATTTCATAATACAGAGGACAACTGTTTCACCAAGCTTGTGTTTATTAAAGTAAATTGATTAATATTTTCATATTTATTATACTATTATTTTTCAGTCTAAATATGACTTCTAGTTTTTGGTTTTTTAATGCTCCAGATATTTATTTCCATATCAAATGATTTATTTTACTAAACTAGTCATACATGTATATGTAACCGGACCTTTGCATACATTGGCACTTGTCCAAGTGGACCTTTGCTCCACTACAGGCAACACACTCCACCAATATTCAAAACACTAAACCTACTCACCATACAAAACATCCATACTTATTATTGCACTTATTACATACATAAAACACTTAACTCTGATATTAACCCTCCCCTCAAACATCTCCTTGCCAACCTCAACAGAACACATGACCATAACACAAGGCACAGATCACTCTTTGATGTTCCTCGTGTCCATCTCACGCTATGCAAAAACTCAATGCACATAAAAGGCCCTAAAATCTGGAATTCATTACCTGTAAATATAAAGAAACACTACCTGTTTATAAATTCAAGTCTCTTCTCAAAGTTCACTTTCTCATCAAAACCAAATAAATACTGAATAACTGAACCTTATAAATTGTATATCCAAAATGTTACTCACAATTATATCACATAAATGTTAAACCTAGGACCCAATCTAACTTTGTATTTTTTTTAAATACACTACCTAACAGAATACTCCATTCTACTGAATAACAGCAATGCATGCAACCATATGACCTGTCTTTGTAATACTCATTTGTGCTTTATAGTTATCTGTTTACAATAATGTCTTATCAACTGATTTCATCATTGCTTAGTTAATCTTAAGTTAATTTTAAGCCAGCCCGTAATGCTATGCATATAAGTGGCTTGGCATGCTTCTCTTACCTGTATTTTTTTTGTACCTCTGTATGTATGCTAAATTTCTAAATAAATAAATAAATAAATAAAAGTAGTTGAGTAGCCTTGACCCCGGTGGCCTGGTGGCTAAAGCTTTCGCTTCACACACAGAGGGCCTGGGTTTGATTCCCGGTTCGTGGAAACATTTTGGCACATTTCCTTACACCTGTTGTCCTGTTCACTTAGCAGCAAATAGGTACCTGGGTGTTAATCGACTGGTGTGGGTCGCCGACCCTGAAAAGGTTGATGTCCAAATACAGGAATTTGGATGAGTGAAAATATGGACAGTTGAACAACAAGTGTTTTGAAATGCATCAGATTGTGCTGAAATTAATGCAGCATTTTTATACACTGCAGGTCTGAATACTGGAAGTCAAATCCACGGAAATTTTGTGACTTTTGTAAATGTTGGATTGCTGACAACAAGCCCAGCATAGAGTTCCATGAGAGAGGCAAGCGACACAAAGAAAATGTTCAAGTACGTCTTGCAGAGATGGGAAGAAAAGGACAAGAAGAATATGAGGCTAAACAGCAGGAAGGGGACTTCCTTAAAGCAATGGAGGAAGTGAGTTATTACTCTCATTTTGGTTTGTTTTATTTATGAGGTTATGTAGGTTATCAGTAACTTAGCAGTGTTCACCATGTCTCACTTGGGATTAAAAGACCGATCATTGCAAGAACATTCAATATCACGTTATAATGAGTGATCTGCAGCGCTTTAGGATTGTCTTTAAGTATATTTAATAAACCCTGGCCAGCAGTGGCAGTTGTGATGGATACAGAAGCAATTGTTTTGCTGTGATCGTAAATATAATGAACAATTCTGCAGTTAACAGACTTTGTCCATTGTTATAAAGTCTGTTGACCCAGCGGGTTTCATTCTGTATTTCCTAAGTCACTTAAATGGAGGTCTGTTAAATGAAGTTTATTGTACAGTATATTGTATACTGTATATAGACAGAAATAATGAAGAAGTTGTGTACTGTGTATATCTTATAGAGCCCACTGTTATGAAATATCTTAACAAGATAACCTTTGATGACAGTTATGGTCTTCATTAATGTTGTGTCACACTGGATCAGACATCCCTCCCAAGAGTGACTGACTGTTTACTGTCCCTTATGTTTACTGCTGCACGTAGAAACATATTCAATATGTAGTATGGTACTCATGCCCAGCTGCGTGTTGTGCCTGCCCTGCAGTTTGCAACCCTCCATATAATGGACTAATTGGGGGGGGAACAGGTGGCCAGTAATGACAGTTGTAGTGGATAGAGAAGAGGTTGTTTGACCATGATTGTAGCAATAATAGACAGTTCTTTAAACAACGGACTTTGTCCATTGTTTCCAAATCAATTGACCCAGCAGATTTTGTTTCGTATTTCCTAAGGTCCGTTATGTAGAGGTAGTTATAGCATTCAAGCCTCTACTTGAATGAATCAACTAGCCATGCATCACTCCTTTGATCTCATGTTGTAATGCTTTTATTTTATTAATTTTTCTTATGAAGCTACTACATGTTATCATCAAGCCATTACTACACACCAGTCTGCAACTCAGATCAGGGGGCACAGAGGCAAAGATGTGGGTTCGGGATGGGATTGTCTACCACTTTTGCACAAGTATATCATTTTAAAATTGTATTTTATGTAGCATTGTTTTATTGTTCTATAATGGTTTCCCCCTTGGTGGGGGGGTAAACCAAAAATAAAAACAAAAGTTTTTGTTTTTAATTTTG